ATAAACTTACTTTTGCCCCCCCCCCCATATATATATTCTGAGCCAAAACAAAACAAAACAAAAAAAGCATTATATCCTTGCCCTGGCCAGTGTGGCTCAGTTGTTTGGGCTATGTCTAAAAAGTTGCTGGTTCAATCCTGGTTAGGGCACCGGCCCAGGTTGTGGACTTTATCCATGGTAGGGGGCATGCAGGAGGCAATCAACATTTCACTTTCACATAAACATTTCACTCTCTCTCTCTCTCTCTCTCTCTCTCTCTCTCTCTCTCTCCTTCTTCCTCTCTCTCCAAAAATAAATGAAAAATCTTTTTTTTTTAAAGCAGTATATCTTTGAGAATAGGAGTCATTTCTCTGACTCATTTAATTTATTCTACATTCAGGAATCACAGAATCCACACTGCTTGTTTTTCATTTGATATCCAAGACTGAAGCATCTATTGCAGTGATTCACCAGCACTCTGAGCACTCCATGTAGGCTTGGCTGTCTCTGCTGCGCTGAGGAGTCAGCTTCAGGAAAGAGATTAGTTGGGCAATGAACATTGGTGCTCTCCTTATTTTTTCCTTGAGTCCCAATAATTACTCTTTATACCTTACATCCAGGACATTGAATAAATATCAAATATTTGTACATCTTAATTTTCCTATGGTGAACAGTTTCATAAAAAGAGAGGGAGAGGATCACTGTGACTTACAGCTTCAGGGATATGTTTTGTTGTGCAGTCAGCCTGACGGTGTCACCTTGGCCAAGCCACATGGCTTTTCAGGGTCTTGGCTGGTTTATTTGTATGTCAGGAAAAAGGATGTAGGTGACCTCTCAGCTTTAGAGATGAGTTTGTGGGAACTTCACACAGTTTAGAAAACAGAACTAAGCACCTACTGTCACCCTGAAAGCAAGAGAATGCCAGATACTGTTTGTAAGACAGGAATGAAATGTTTGTGTAATTGTATGAAATTGAATTTTAACTGAATCAGTTCATTCAGTTAAATTTTCTTTAAAATTAAAGCATTACTTTAATGTTACACAATAAACTGTAAACAAAAGACTTACAGAATTTTTGAATGGTATTAAATCCACTACATCTAAAACTTTTGGATGTCTAATTTTAATAAACATCTTTCTTCCTTCATAATTTTGAATGTATATCTATTTGAAATTAATTATTTTATGTTGCTATACATGTGACAAATATTATATGTAAATTATTAGGCCATTAGAAAAGCTAGGCATACTATTTCCCTACCAATTATATAGAGATATTAAAGTTTTAATGGATTGTTAGTATTATCTTTAAAGATCATGAGTTTTAGTACTTATTCTTACCAAAAGAATAAAAATAGTATGTGCTGAACTCTGACTAATCTATATATAAAAGGCTAATATGCAAAGTATCCCTTCAGGAGTTGGACCGGGAGTTCACTTGCTCACTCTGACATGCGCTGACCACCAGGGGATGTTGCCAGAGAGCAGCCAGAAGGCCCCAATAGGTCCTGACCACCAGCCAGGTCTAGGGACCCTACCCATGCATGAATTTTGTTCACCCGGCCTCTAGTATTTTTATATTTTTACTTTTATCTTGAAAGCAGCCTATTTATTCAGGAAGCATTTATTGAGCATATACTATGTACAAAGCCTTTGAGTTAATGACAGGGTATACAGCAAAGTTAATGGGGTGGAAGAGATGAACATTACAAAAATGATTACAAATGCACATGTATAATTTTGATGCTCACTGAATATGTGGCTGGAGTGAAAAAGGGCAGGGTGGAGAGAAGATCACTAAATGACTGGAAGAAAGAGAAGGGACCAAATTTTGTAGAGCCTGTCGACCATCTTAAAGATTTTACATTTTCATTGAAGGGTCCCAAGTTCGATTCTGGTTGAGGGCATGTACCTTGGTTGTGGGCACATTCCCCGTGGGGGGGTGTGCAGGAGTCAGCTGATCAATGTTTCTCTCTCATCGAGGTTTCTAACTCTATCTCTCTCCCTTCCTCTCTGTAAAAAAATCAATAAAATATATATATATTTTAAAAGATTTTACATTTTCCTGAGTGTAATGGAAAACCACTGAAGGTTTTTCAAAAGGCTGATGACATAATCCAATACTTATAGTATCTGCTTTGGTCACTAAATGAGGGTGAACTGGGAAGGAAGGCAAGAGTGAAAGGAAAGAGATCAATTAGGAGATTCTTGCATGTTCCAGAAAGAGGTCTGATGGCTTGAAATATACAGTAGCAGTAGAGATTTTAAAAAAAATGGATTTGAGATATATTTTGGGAAACCAATTCACAGGTCTGATGATTGATTCCATTTGGGAAGATTAGTGAAAGAGATAAGTCTTCGATGACTCCCAAGTTTCTTTTTTTTCTTTTTTTTAAATATGTTTTATTGATTTTGTACCGAGAGGAAGGGAGAGAGATAGAGAGTTAGAAACATCGATGAGAGAGAGTCATCGATCAGCTGCCTCTTGCACATCCCCTACTGGAGATGTGCCCGCAACCAAGGTACATGCCCTTGACCGGAATTGAACCTGGGACCCTTCAGTCCACAGGCTGATGCTCTATCCATTGAGCCAAACCGGTCCTGGCGATGACTCCCAAGTTTCTGCATTGAGGAAATGAAGGTGCTTTGTATTGAAATGGAAACCTAGAGGCAGAGTAGATTTGAAAAGAAAGATGGCATTTTCCATTTTACTGTGAGAACTCCAAGGCTTAAAGGATGTAGGTTCTTATTTATAGATATAGCCACCAGGTCAGAGCTATAGTACTATGCCATCTTTGCAAACTACATTACCTTTAGTAACTTCTCTGTTTGGTTTGATGTCATGATACCTTTGGCCTCCGCCCGTAGTTGTCCAGAGTGATGGCACTATTCCATTTGTCTGCAGTAAAAAGTTCTATTGTCTTGTTCCATTGGATATGTAAGTCCTCTTGAAACTTACAAGGACCCCGTAGCCCATATAAACCCTTCAACTCAGATCCTGTATAGGAAGAGGAAGCTAACTTCTCCACTGTGCTGGACCTGAGCTGTGGCCAAGGGCATGGATGGCAGTACTCTAATCAAGACTATGCTACTCAGTGCTGTTGGGATCCTGCCCAATCTTTAATCTTTTCCTGGAAAAATTGGTCCCCATAAGACTTGAGGTATTTTGCTATGGTGGTGAGGAGCACAGGTTTGAAGACAAACACCTTTGGGTCCTGCTAGCTAAGTGACTTGGAAAAGTCACTTCAATTTTCCCTGCTGTGATTTCTTCATGTGCAATAATAGGATCTGTCATTAGGCTGATCTGAAGATAGAGAGATACCACATGTAAAGAGCCTTACCTGGCCCCCAGTAAGTCTGTCATAAGCCAGAGCTCTGTTTTCCAATCACTTAGTTCCCAGTGGAGATAACTTTTCTGAAGCACATAATACATTGTCTGATATTGGTGACCCCCCATTGTTATTTCCCATAGAAAAATGTAAAAAATAGTAAACAGCAAAATTCCATTGGCAAGCCTTTGAACTTTAGATACTAACTAAACCCAATTTCTTAAATAATGAATTGACTCACATTTTCAGAGTCACTTCCTCTTTAATTCTCCGTAGTTTATCAGAATGATCTTTGTCTGCTCTCTTTAGCTCATTTGGATAGTGCTTTCATTTACTTGGGAGCTTTGAGGAGATTGCACAGATATACTTCTTACACATCTTATCTGATAAGTCATCTAGCCAATTCTTATATCCACTTTTGTAAAACAAGGTACACATCCCTAGGAAGTTAAGTAATAGCAGACAAGGCTTGGTTTTTTTTTTTGTTTTTTTTTTTTTTTTGGGGGGGGGGGGGAGACTCTAGAGGGTTCCTGAGATATTTAGCAACACCTTTGTTTCTTAAGCCATAAATCATGCCCTGGGGAATAAGGTCTCTAATATATCTCCTCTTGACTTTGGCTGCCATGGTGAGGATATTGGAATTCTGCCTGAGAGGCACAGACACCATCAATCTGTAGGCATCTTACCTTGTGCATTTCCTTACAGATCAGATTGGCACTGAGCATTCTCTCTCAGTGTAAAGCAATTTGTGAAATTAAGCCTTTAAGAAATTCAGTTCTTCATTCTCCTTTTTGGGTGTTACTAACCAAAGGCAAAACCAAAAAGGCAACGCAAAAAAATTATTCTGAACGTTGGTATCAAAAATATTTTTTAGTTCACCCATAGGCACAAAAGAGAACTAAATATTATTATTTCTGTATCAGCATTCCCCAGTGAGATAGCGAATTTATTTTAAAACATTTTTTAATCATGTAGGTCAGCCTTAGTAGACAGTGACGTGATGTGGCAAATAGTGTCTGGGGTGTCACTAAGCAGGGCTCCATGCAGGGAGTGAGATTGCCATTGTGTTACTTCAGCAGGATCTACCTCAACCTGCCTCCCTCCCCCTGCAACATGCATTCGGTTAAACAAATATTTGATTTCTTGCTTTCATTGATTTCTAAGTGAATTCCCCTGTGCCTGTCTGGTTTTGGAGGTAGAGGTGTGCCTTGACTTTTATAGACCAGACTAACATGTATGTTTAAATAAATGTCTGTAATTTAACTTCAAAATCCCTTAGGAAGCTAGGTTTATAATAGAAATTCAAGAAAAATACCTTAATACAAAAGAGAAATGTGTTCAAACCATTGTGACTCATAATCTTATAATTTTTAACTATTAATTTAATATTATACTTGCTTATAGGAAATATTGCTAGGAATAAAACATTTAATTTTCCACAATTTACAGTGATCTTAATTTCTTATCATGTTCATAAGGGACTTCAAAATTAGCTATATTTTATTTCTTAAAAACATACAAAGCAAATATAAAAATTTAAAAACTGAAGAAAACTAGATGGTAAGTACATGGGTAGGTGTTACATTATTTTAAAATAAGTTTTTGCTTGAAATATTTCACAATAAAATGTGCAAAAAGTAAAAAGATAATTAGGTTATTCATGTTTTCCTCTTTGTTTCCTTATTGTTGTAGAAAGTATTTATCTTCTCTGGAACATTTAGAAAAAACTTGGATCCCTATGAACAGTGGAATGATCAAGAAATATGGAAAGTTGCAGATCAGGTAAGGATGCTAACAAATATTTTGGAAAAAGGTAGTTCATACCCACACAAGAGTGGTTGTCATAGCTGAGATAATTTTACACACTTGTGTGTGTGTGCCTGCATGCATGCACACAACTTGAAATCAAAGAACTGTAATATACCTGGAGCACCCAGTACTTGGATTACACCTCTTCCTCTCCTTGGTGTTCATTTCCATTTTTAAAAAATATATTTTATTGATTTTTTTTACAGAAAGGAAGGGAGAGGTATAGAGAGTTAGAAACATTGATGAGAGAAACATTGATCAGCCGCCTCCTGCACATCCTCTACTGGAGATGTGCCCACAACCAAGGTACATGCCCTTGATTGGAATTGAACCTGGGACCCTTCAGTCCACAGGCCAATGCTCTATCCACTGAGTCAAACCAGTTAGGGCTCTCCTCAGTGTTAAGTCTCCATCTATCAGGCCCCAGAGATAGCATTTCTGTGGTCTTCTTCCCTACCAATGTGCATCAAAGAGACATTAACTGGGAGACCAATAGCATCTACATTACACCAGGATTATTCCTGATACAAAAATCATCTCTCTACACCTTCTCAGCTACTCCCTCTTTGGGTTTTGAAGCTTCCCCAGTAGAAGGAGGAGGCTTTGCTTTGACATGATGTAATTTTCTGGGAAGCATGGTTTTAACATATAAGGATGATGATCATTCTAGGACACCTGCAGATGACTATTGTCTTCTCTGGAAGTCACCAGGACTCAACTACCTTTAGGGAATGTGCCGGCTATGAGTGCTTTTAGGCACAATGCCACATGACCTAAATAGAGCATACTCCATTCTTTGCGGTCATTAAGACACCATGTAGGACACATATGGATTAAAATAGACTCAAAATTCCTAAATAAGACCCTGTATTTACCCAATAGATGGTTTATTACAATTGAAGGTATTAAACACAGGAATTTGGGATGAGAGAGAGAGAGAGCCTGAATGAAATGCTTGGTTCCATTAAAAAAAAAAATCCTAACTGTAAACTGACAATTCTTAAAATATTAAAGTAAGGGGCAACATAAATTGCTCTGTTTCATTAAACTTGAGGTTTACGTTCAAAGTTCTGGAAGATTACACACTACAGCTATAAGACCTAAATAAGAACTTTGAGATTCAAGGATCTTTTTAGGGAACAATATTATTCCACTATTTCCTGTATTGTTAGTCCTTGTAGTACAATTCCCAAATGTTCTCTCCTTTTCTGCCTTCATTCAGAATGGATCTCTTCAGGAGCTTTGAAATACCTGTGAGTGTGAAACACTTCCTCACTGAGTGCCCAACCTTAACATGCCCCTAATAAAATGCACTTAGATTAACTGTTTTCAATATCAAAGTTTCCTTATGGGAGTTTTTAAAGGAAACATTAACTAAACTGGAAGTGACACATTTTAAGAAGATCTTTGATGTGACTTCCAGAATGAACTATAGGGACACAATGTTGCGGGAAGGAAACTTGGAAAGGAAGGCATCAGATTGTACAAAATCTGCAAATATTGCCAAGTCAAAATAAAATTTACAGGAAATCAGCAACATAAAAATACCTAAAATTTTAGAAGACATGGTAAAGATTTTAAATGCCATTAGAATGCAAAAAAAAAGTTTCAATTTTTATTTGATCAAATTGTATTGAGGTCTATCTTTTTTCTGATCGTCTTTTTAATAATTTGCGAACAGGGATGTTAATGCTCTCCCTACATTATTGACTTCATGTGCTATGAGCGGTGGTGATAAGTTTTTGCTGCAGAGGCCCTGAAAATAGAATACAAACAAATAAGCAATAGCCCAGAGAAGTTAGAGAAGGCTTTGGTTTAAAAGTTACAAGGCCTGGGCTTTATTCCTAAATGGTTGATCATATAACATATCTAAACAGGAATATTTAGGCGCATGCCAGTGTCTAAACTGGACAAGATAGTGGGGAAATGGTGTAATCCAGGATGATCCAGGGTGAACCAGGATATATGCCAGTTCATCGTGTCCTCTCTGTGACCTTGGTATGACTCAGGTCTCTAGAGGGAAATCAACTGAATAATGGCAGATAGCCAGACTCCCGAATCTTATCCCAACAGCACCTCCTTCATAATTCCCCTTTTCCCAAGTGAAAATCACAAGCACATGACAACACTGGGCCAAGAAATACTTTATTTCTAGCTTGGCTCTGGATGGAAACTCCATTGTGAAGCCTTATCCTTGCTGACCAAGACTAGATTGTGTGAAGCTATGATGGATCATGCCTAATGAGTAACTCTTAAGGTTTGGAAGCAAAGCTGGCCCAAACAGCTCCCTGTCCCTTTGTATCTTAGGCCCACACCTTCATCTTGGCACTCTGTGGATTGAGATGGTCTAATGCCCATATCCCAAAACAAATCAGAGGCAGATCCCTTCTCCTCAGAATCACTGACTTTACCAGGTGTATGGTCAAAGAGAATCTCCTATGATACTGAATCCCAAATTGGGGATGGGATAGGGTGGGAGGTTGGGGGAGGGTGCGGCAAGGCCCCTGGCTTTGTGGTCCAGTAAATTGATAGCATTGTTGCAACATTTTTTTTTTCAATTACAGTTGACATAAAATATTACACTAGTTTCAGATTATTACATAGTGATTAGATAAGTAGTTATATTATGACATGATCATCCCAATAAATCTAGTGCCCATTTGACACCATATGTAGGAGTTATAATATTATTGACCATATTCCCTATGCTGTACTTTACATCCTCATGATTGTTGGGTAAATATCAATCTGTACTTGTCAATCTTTTCTCCTTTTTCATCTGTCCCTCCAACTCTCCTCCCATTTTGTAACCATCAAAATGTTCTCTGTACCTAAGAGTTTGTTTCTGTTTTGTTTATTTGTCTTTTAGATTCTATACATAAGTGAAGTCATAGGGCATTTGTCTCTCTCTGACTTATTTCACTCATCACAGTACTCTCTAAGTCCATCCATGTTGTTTCAGATGGCAAGATTTCATTCTCTTTTATGATGGAGTCATATTCCATTGTACATATGCACCATTTCTTTATGGTTCCATTTTCATGAAATATTTTTTCATCACTTTCAGTCTGTGTGTCTTTCAATCTGAAATGACTCTCTTGTAGACAGCATCTGTAAGGCTCTTTTTTTTATTCATTCAGGTTTTTTTTTTTTTTTTTTTTTAATTTCTTTTCAGGGAGAGTGTGGAGGGAGAGAGAAAAACATCAATGTGAGAGAGACACATTGACTGGTTACCTCCTAAATGTGCCCTGCCTGGGGGATGGGAAGCAAACTACAGTTCAGGTATATGCCCTTGACCAGGAATTGAACCCGAGACCCTTAGGTGCAAGGGCCAACACTCTAACCATTGAGAAACATTATGTCTTTTGATTGAAACATTTAATCAATATACATTTAAAGTAATTGTTGACAAATATGTAGTTATTGCCATTTTCTTATATCTTTATATCTTCTTTTTCTTAAAGTCTATTCAAAATTTCTTATAATACTGATTTGGTAGTGATGAACTCCTTTAGTTTTTTCTTGTCTGAGAAGTTCTTTATATCTCCTTCAATTTTAAATTATATCCTTGCTGGATAGAGTGATCTTGGTTGTAGATCCATGTTTTTCTTGACTTCGGATATTTCATGCCAATCCCTCTGGCCTACAAAATTTCCATTGAGAAATAAGCTGACAGCCCTATGGGAGCTCCTTTGTAGATAACTAACTACTTTTCTCTTGCTGCTTTTAAGAGTCTCTCTTTGTCCTTACCCTTTGGCATTTTAATTGTGATGTGTGTAAGTGTGGGCTTTTTGGGTTAATCTTATTTGGGACTCTCTGTGCTTTCTGGGCATGTGTGTCTATTTCCTTCACCATGTTAGGGAAGTTTTCCATCATTATTTCTTCAAAAGGTTTTCAATTCCTTGCTCTTTATCTTCTCCTTCTGGTTCCCTTATGATGCAAATATTGGTATGCTTGATGTTATCTCAGAGGCCTTTAAACGATTCTCACTTTTTTGGATTCTTTTTTCTTTTTGATGTTTTGGGTGTTTTCTTCTACCTTTTCTACAAAATCACTGATTCAGTCATCTACTTCATCTAATCTACTGTTGATTTCAACTAATGTATTCTTTATTTTAGTTATTCTATTCTTCATTTTGATTGGTTCATTTTTATGTTTTCTTTCTCCTTTTTATGTTTCCTATCTCTTTGTTGAAATTCTCACTAAGTTCATCTACTCTTCTCCTAAGTTCATTGAGCACCCTTATAACCAGTGTTTTGAACTCTGCATCTGATAAATTGCTAGTCTTCATTTTATTTAGTTCTTTTTCTGAAGTTTTGTTCTGTTCTTTCATTTGGGACATGTTCTTTTTTCTCCTCATTCTGGCTGCCTCCCTGAGTTTGTTTCTTTAAAAAAAAAAATGTTTTAACTTTTAGTGAGAGAGAGACATTGATGTGAGAAACATAGATTGGCTGCCTCCTTCATGCATCCTGACCAGGGATTAAACACACAATCTGGGCATGTGCCCTCACCAGGAATTGAACCAGTGACCTTTTAGTACATGGGATAGCACTCAACCAACTGAGCCACACTGGCCAGGGCATGTTTCTATGTATTAGAGTTGATATGCCTCCTGGTCTTGGTAGAGTGGCCTTATATATTAAGTGTTTTATGAGGGACAGTGGCATAGTCCCTCTCTGGTCACCTGAATCAGGTGAGCCAGGTGTGTCTTTTGTGTGTGCTGTGTATACTTTTCTATTGTAGTTGAGCCTCTATTGCTGTTGGTATGTCAGTGGGAGGAATTGACCTTCAGACTGAGGTCTGCTTATGATTACAGTGGATGAGCTTTTGTGCAGGGGCTTAACCTATGGAGCAGGATTCACTTTAATGGGTCTCTAGTGCCTGCCGAGTCTGCCCTTTGGTTGTATAGTTTATGGAGTGGCTGGGTGGTGCTCTGGTGTGGTCTGATGCTGGCCACTGAGTATGTTGGTTCT